TCTCTCTCTCTCTCACTTCCGGTCTGAACCTTTCCTCTGAACATCCAGATGACTGATAAAGTGTCATTTACCAGCTGATTTGTGTATTTTAGTAAACCAGACGTCCTAATAGGTGCAGATGTTTCTACCTGACCACCTTCTCCTCAGACAGCAGCAGAGTTTCCTCCTTTACATGAGAGGTGGAGCTCAGATGTTCCCTCCATCCTTCCAGCCTTCAGTCCAGACGTGCTCGGCTATCTGTAGACTTGAACTGTCATAGAACCAGTTTTCAGGTTAATCTCCTATTTGCAAACGCTTCTTTGTTCTATATTAGAGCAGCTCTGTTGTCACCTGGTTATGTAAACTGTGTCCTGATGGTGGAAGAGTTATGGCGCCCCCACGTGGCCGACAGTGAAGCAGCAAACTGCACCATGAACATTGTCATGAAGATCCAGTGAAATACAACTAAATTAAAGCTGATGCTGGTTTGCCTGCCTGTTGGCTGCATCATGGATCAAACATATACCAACAAATCTCTAATAGACTATTCAGTGCTTTGCTCACTAGATTAAATGGAACTATTCTGAACATTTTGAAGCCAGACGTTGTAGTTTTTTGGTGTTTTTCCCCCTGATGCACCAGCTGCCTCTCCTCAGCACTGCCACCGCAAATAACAGGAAAATAAAGAAAAACATTTTCTTTAAAACTGACTCACAGCATGTGGATGTCAAAGATCCTCTCACGTGGACGACTGGCTGCTTGGTCTGTACCTAAAAGCCCAGCTGGTCCAGACCCACAATCTGAAGAAGATGAACTGGTTTCAGCAGCGATGGTAGCCGCTGGACTGTTCCCCTAAACTGATCCAGAGTTCCATAAAAACAGAACTTTTCACCGTAGGGCGAACATGTCTGTGTTCTTATTTTATTCTTTTTCTTTTCCATCTTCATGAACACTTGATTTGTAGAACTCAGACTGCAGGAACCCAACCAACCTTCTGCACCACCAGCAGCAGGACCACTGGCAGCCATGTGAGCTATAGAGGTCAGACTTTCTGGGTCGCCGGTGTTCGAACCGACACGAATCAAAAGGACACGGATTCATAACTGACAACAAGGTTTATTCACAGCAGTCTGTTTTATTGACTCTACTTGTTTTCATGGGTACAGGCGTGTTAATGTGAATGATGCACGCTAAGTCACTCTAAAATCACTAGAAAGCAGCTTTGTACAGAGAGGTTCATGGATGCACAGTCGTGTCACTGCTCACACCTATTTCACACCAAACACAGCTCCGGGCCTTCTGCACTTCATTTTATTGCACGTGGGTCAGGTTCGGTTTTCTGATGCAGACACTGAGCTCAGGTTGATGTCCAAGCAGACAGCGGTGGAGGTGGCAGTTATTTAGGTGGAATGAAGTCCAAGGAGCATTTTTTACTTTATTAGACCACGAGATGGCGCCAGAAGTCCAATGATGATTTGTCACTTTGTGTCCAAGAGGATGCAGACACACCTGTATGGATGTGGACACCTGCCTGGAACAGGAGGGAGGATGAGAGGCAGCGACGAGCAGAGATGGACGGAAGCTGTTCAACCATCTGGTGTTTAAAACAGCATTTTTTATATGTTTTTTTTTTTTTATTTTTTTCCTTTTTAGTATCTAAAAAAAAATCTGCGTGTAAACATTTTTTATTTTTTTTTAAATCTTCAGTCTAATTTCACAAATTGAAATATTAATATTTGGAGTGTTTATGGATTAAATATAATTAATATATAATTATTGAAACACTTTAAACCGCTGTGTGTAGCTGGATGGCGGCTCTCTGGGTGGGTTTCATAATTCGCTCAGAAAAGTAGCTGTAGGTTAAAAATAGGAAAGCTTTTTTTTTTTTTTTTTTTAATTTCAGTTTTTCATGTGTTGCTGCCGTAAACCGTAGCTCCAGTCGTACAAGTTTTAAACATGGTTCAACCAGATGAAGTCAGTTTCAGCCTGAACCATGTTCACGCAGCTCCTAACAGACCTTCTGTCTCCTTCTGTCATCCCTCCTCCGCCCTTCTTGTGGTGTCTCGGTTTGTTTTCCAGTCGGTCTAGAACGCACACAGTCAGTTGTAGTGGTTATTGATGTTGCTCAGGCTGTTGATGTTGTTGACGCAGCTGATGTGGGACGGAGACACGGTGCCGAAGGGCCCCGGAGGCTGCAGGTTGTGGCTGTGATACAGAGCCGCCGGAGGCGAACCGGGCCAGTAGGAGAAGCCCGGGGGGCCCACACCGGGAGCCACGAGGTTCAGTTTGGAGATCCCGGAGAAGGGGATCGGGGAGAAGTTGCCCTGGAACTTGTAGATGGCCTGCTCCGTGGTGGACGGCTGGCACACCTGCGCCAGGCCGTGGAAGTCGAACTTGTAGGCGTATCTCTTGCCGTGCACTTTGGTCATGATGTTCTTGTCGTAGTAGTAGCGCAGCGCGCGGCTCAGCTTGTCGTAGTTCATGTTGGGTTTGCTTTTGCGCTCCCCCCAGCGCCGGGCCACCTCGTCCGGGTCGATGAGCTTGAACTCCCCGTTGGTTCCCTCCCAGGCGATGCAGGACATGTTGGTGCTGTCCGACAGGAGCTCCAGCAGGAACTGCCACAGCTGGATCTGTCCGCTGCCTGCGCGCGGGGAGCGGACCGGACGAGGGCGCAGCGTTAGTACAGAGGGACGCGTAAAGAGAAGGAAAGAATCAGACAAAATAATAAAAAAAAAAACATCTGGGTAGAAAATACAGACTGGGCATGACGTTTAGGGTAAAATACACTGTCCTTTTATTATCATTATTAATATTATTTTATTTATCACGTTTATCAAATACTATTCTATTCTATTCTATTAATCTGTTGCCATCGGTTAAAAAAATAATCTGTCTAAAATATAAAAAAACAAACACTTTGAGACATTTTTCATTTAAAGCTATGAACGATTTTTGCTTAAAACGATGCATGTTAATATTTCATGCAGCAGTACAGCAGATATCATTTATAAACGCGCCTGTTCTGTGCGCCTTTAAGACCTTTATATTTTCTTACATTTATATTTTCTTCCATGGCCTTTATAAATGCGTTTTATTTTTTTTAATCTTTCAGATTCATCTTCATGATGTTCTACAATTTACTCGTTTATAAATCTATTTAAAATCTAATCTAATCTCAGTCCATTTGTGTACGTACACGTTATTATTAAATTAAAATTAAATCATTATTATTGTTATTATTATAACATATTAAAAGTCATGACCTGCTTTATTTCGTCTCCTCACACAGCAGTAATGTCCACTGAACAGCATCTGGTTTAGTTTCAGGCCTGTGGTGTTTTTATGATTCTTATTATTTTAATGTTTTAACTTTCTTTTTTTTATTTCTTATATTTTCCTTTAAACCCGCAGCAGAGCGCGCTGTGAAGCAACAACGGCTCCAGTTTCCAAAGTATGAATTCAGTGACTTTTATAATCAGCCTAAACTATAAAATGACTACATTTTAAATAAAAAAAAACCAAAATAAATCGAAGGCGCCATTAATACATTTTATTCCTGGTTTTAGACTAATATGGGGTGTTTAGGATCAAAATGGAAACCAGTATTTAAAGAATGATCTTATTAAATGTTAAATAAAACAGCTGTTTCTAATTTATTTTGATGTTATTTCAATATTATTTTTCTCAAGTATCGCGTTGAGGCTTAATATTAATATTAATATTTTATAATCATATAAAACCAGTCTTTTTACCTCTAGACCAGTGTGTGATAATTATATTTATTATGTGCTGACTCCGTTCTTACCTTTTTGTACTCCTGTATTTATTGGACCCCAGGACGTTCCTTTGGTTTCTTTCAACAGGTTTTCTGTTGGATCTGGAATCAAAACATATGAACAAGACCAGTCAGAACCAGGAGACTATTTATCTCTTAAAGCTGCTGGTGCAGGCCTTTGTCTATTTCATATCCCAGATATGAAAATATAATATCTTGCTTTGCTGGAATAAGAAAAAATAATAATTTTACAGACACATCATGTAACAAGAAAACAGCAGTCAGAGAGGAACAGGTGAAGACATGAAATAAAACGTGGTGATGGATGTTTAGAATCTGTGGAGAAGGTCTGTCATTAACGGCTCTGGCTGTTATAAGATGCTGTTAAATGTGAGCCGTGCATGGCCTGCAGTTCAAACTGAGATGAAATGCTTAAAAATCCCCAAATCTCCCGCAAAGTTAAAATAGATTAAAATCCTAATTGTGTCCCGGTCCAGTCGGAGGCTGATGCGTAAAGCTTGTCGTCTTTGCGCTCTCCTCTGCGAGAAGCCAGGAAACGCGTCCAGGAAAAAGGATTTCCGATTTCCGACAAAAGAGCAGACGGGCTTTCAGATTGAAAAGCCTGAACAATGCTGCGCGCCCTGGAAATCCAGCAGCACCGGCCGCAGGACGCCGGCACCGAGCGAACATTTCAAAAATCATCTCATAAGAGGCGGTTTGTGCGGCTCCGAACGGGACCAAACGACCAACCTGAGAGATACATGTTGAACATGAGGTTTCCTCCGCAGTCCTGTCTCATTGTGTTCACTTGTTCAGAAAGGGTTGGATTTCATTTCGTTGGTGGCGGAGGAAAAGATTTTTATTAAACTTTATCTCATAACTGTGATCTGGAATAAATGCGGGTGGACAGATTGAAGTTTCCAGGCAACTGTCACTGGCCCCCATCTCTGAGACAATATTCAGACAGCAATTTCCCCTGGTGCATTGCTTTAATTAAAAGAGCAATTTACCTCTGTCAGCCCGCCTGGTGCCCACAATAAAAAGAGGCCGATAGAAATTCGGCCCTTATCAATCCGCCATCACAGTTTAATAAAGTTTCCGCGTTAAGATCTGAGTTTCTATGGTGAATTGAAGTGTTTGACATGGAAACCAGTTCAGATCCTCCTCACTTTTCCGCCTCTTTACCTCTCAGCAAACAACAAAGACCTATTTCATGTTGGAAAAAGAATATTTACCTTAAAAACACGCCTCAGTGCGCATGAGAAAACAGGAACATTTCATCCCTGCCAGCCTCCCTCTGTGGGTTTAACGTTATATGGCCTCAATCTGAGGCTAATGAGGTCGTAACTCTAAAACCATGGCTTCTGATGCTCACTGACGCTATCATGTGCTGCTCTTATGTTCCTGCTTCTTCTGGGGGTTTTTTTTTTCAGAACAGTGGACTGTGTGGAGATCTATCTGGACCTTATGGTTCTGCAGGGTCTGGCTCAGACTGTAAATCCAGTGATCTCTGGCTTCCTACACTCTGTCCTCTATACACACTGAATTCAGCATTATCAGTGAATCCTGGTGTTTAAGGGCCACAAAGGAGACAAAGGACACACATCTGCCACCAACAGAGATATGCACAACAGCTTTATTCAGCACATCACACACACATCACACACACATCACACTGACTGATCAACATCCTGTGATTAAACTGAATCTCATTTTCCAAGTTAATTAAATCACATATACCTGATATATGAACTATAAGGCAGCTTTAGGGTGTTTAAATCAACAAATATGAAGAAAAAAATCACAATTATGTCAAAAAACACTGCATGAAAAACATTCTCTGCCACATATCAGTGAAGTGTGAGCGCTGCTGTGTTTAAGGTGAATCTCTCAGGTGTGATTTCAGGACATGTATCTGACGTCAGACTTCTTATTTCTCAAATCATTCTTCGTCTGCAGCTACATATAATCAGTGCAATGAAATCCAGATGTACTGATCACACTGAGTCTCTAACGGGATGCTGCTGTTTTCATCTTTCATTCCTCCCCATAAACGTGGACGAGCCTCAACCTAAAGAGACACAAAGCAGGTTTATAATAATGCTGCACAGCCTATTATCTGGGAGTAAATAGATAAACACATCACACATTCACTCTCTGTTCTGTCCCTTCCAGAACAGAACCAGGAGTGTCTGAAGGTGAACATCTGGCGAACAGGATGAACAGCTCTCGTATTTAAAGCTTAGCGTCTAATCAGCCAGGATTTGACTTCCTGATGTAGAAATGCAGCCTCCGGTCTGATCGTATGCTCTGTGCTCTGTGTTGACTGAACTGAAAGTGAACAGTGAGCCAATGATTAAGCACCTGAGTCACCTGACTGAGCTCCGATGTGCACGAATGCACACGGTGCCACAAAACTGCACCAGATCAGTAAATATGAAGCTATTTATTAGCACAACAAGTCATCAGAGCAGACTCGTTTGGATTTGGAATGACATATTATGTTCAGTTGGCATTAAATCTTTATGGTTACCTATTGATGAATATATTTGCTGTCACATTTGGCTCAACATCTGTTTTTCCCTCCACACAAACCGGAGACATCGTCACTAACTGGTCAGTGCAGAGCTCCCAGTTAAACAGGATAAGGTTTTATGGTCCATCCTCAGTTGAAATGCGTCCTGCTGGATGCGTCTCTTGCGTCCCAGACTTGCTTTAGCTGCCTGTGTCCAAGTACAAGTCGCAGGCAACTTAAAACAAGCCTCGAAAGCTGGACTGTGTCCGTTGGTGAAGTCGTAGAAAAACAGGCTGGAAATCTGTCTGATCAGCGACAGGCCAGAAGTCCACACAGGAAAAAGTAGAAATAATAAAAGATGTTTCAGAAAATATCACTTCAACTCAATGATGTATCCTGTAGTGAAGACTTACAGGATAATAACAGCTGAACTAGCTTTGGATGGTAGCTGAGAGTCCACATGAATGCAAATAATAGCTTAAGACAGTTAATCATGTGGTTTGTGTAGCTAGTTAGAACATCTGATCGCTCCACCAACCCCTGCAGTCGCTTTGTTCCTTTATGAATACATTTCAAAAAAGGCTAAATGACGTATTTTCATCTTGTAATGCCATTTTTCTACCTTAACACTATCTATAGCAGTCAGTCCTGTAAAGCTGGCTAAGAGCTCCTGGTGCTCCTGTCTGGACTTACCGTGATGCTCTGACCTGCGTGGCTGCAGCTGGAGGTGAACTAGTGACTCCTCTGGAAGCAGCAGCAGCTTTAATCAGCCTGCACAGGAATGTATATTTGAGAAAGGTGTGTGTGCATGGTTACACATTTATTAAAAGATCCTGGTCTGTTGGGTGTGGGCCCGTGAGCCGGTGCAGCTTTGTGGGTGTGTAACACGGAATCCGACGTCCTGGACCAGCGCGAGGAGTGTGTGTGGCGGTAAACACGCTCCAGGATCCCGGCGTGTGACTGCAGAACAAACACGGCCGTGTCACATTAGAATAAACACACTGATGCTGAGCTGCTGCACTTTGGTGTGACGTGCTCGTACGTGCACGCCTGTTCCAGGGACGCAAACTGTCAGAATGCGTGTTTGTTTCTAACTCAGAGCGAAAGTCAGGACTGATGTAGTCCTTCATGGATTCTGATGCTGCACCTTTCAGGTGACAGAGGGCCTCCTTCTGATGTTGGGCCTCAGCTTTTGAAGCCTTAACCGGCTGGTCTGTGTCTCTTTCATACATCTAGGGGATTAATATTAGTGGTTTTATTAATGTAGCAGTAAAACCGTCCATCCATCAGTCACACATGCTGTAGAGGCCTGTTTAGTTTATCACACATGAAGCTGTGATGCCATGTCTCCTGCAGGCCCAGCAGCCAACCAGCAGGTTCAAACCCAAAACCTTCCTGCTGTGAGGTGCCAGTACTCGCTCCACCGTGGCACCCCACAGCAAAGCCACATACCTCCACAGAGGTTCAGGGTCAGGGGGTGAAAACCTGCCGTTTATCAGTTACAAGGTGGATGCTGTGTCCCTCAGAGGACCTCTGCTGGCCTCTGTTGGGCAGCCGCTGACGCCAAAAGCTCACTTCTTTGCCAGCATGTTCTGGTGTTTACACTAAACGGTTCTGTGTCTAGCTTTGGTGCAGAACTTTTATCACAGGAAGGCAAACAGAGAGGCTTCATGTGAAAGATGTGATCTCAGATCTCTCTTGTGTACACGACTGTCAGTCATTGAACATGCACCACAGCGGCTGCCTATCCAGGGTTACTGCTGCTTCGTTTTATTGGCCTCTTTGGCAAATCGCACCTGGAACTGTTAGAGAACAAATCATAGAAACAAATATGATGTCGTGCTCTTGTTTATTGGAAATAAGAATACAATCTGACAAGAACAACATTACACATCCTAAAGCCTAACAGAATCAGATCTTTCCATGTATGCTCGCTAAAAGGCTAAATGTGTCTATTAAATAAATACAAAGCAAAGTCTATCTGTGGAAACTGCCTCGGCCGTAGAGCTAAGCGGGCCTCTGGTTCTGGAGCTGACTGATAACTCAACGCAGCCAATCGTTACAGCCAGTTCCTTTAAGCTTTTGATTTTTATTTATTTAACCGGATTGATAAACCTCATTGGAAAAATAAAAAGAATTCCGACAAACAGTCTCTAGTTTTGAAGAAAAGCCTTTATTTCCTATTTCAAGAACATGCTTTAGCATGGTAGTAGAAGTAGGTACTTAGATATCCATACATGCAGAGCCACAGAGTGATAGAGAGAGTTCGTCCATCTACTGTTCTGTGACAGCGGACTGTTCGCGTTGAGGAAGCGATTAGGGGAGAGTTTGTTTTGTTCTCGGGTCGGGTCGGGCAGGCAGAGTGGAGGCTTAGTGCTGGATCCTACGAATGGACTGCACCTGGTTGGTGTGGGCCTGGGTGCTGTACTCGTTGTAGTTTCTGTACTCGCCTTGGTGTCTGTCTCTCTCCAGGATGTACTGGTAGCCACGGTAACCAGGGAACTGGTAGGCCACCCAGCTGCAGGGAGGAGGAGGAGGAGGAGGAGGGGAGGGTTGAGTCAAGGTCAGATGCAGTATATCATAGCAGACAGGGATCAGGGATGTAATGCTAATGTTAATGGTTTTAGCAAATTCAGTGGAGCTACAGGACGGTTTACGGTGGTTTAAGAGAGAGGATGTTGGTGTGCTAACTTACAACAAGCTGAAGTTTATAGGAGAAAGTTTGACATTGCTAACATAACTAAAAATAAGAAATAAAACTCAGGAGCTAAAACTATGACTATAAGGAAAACCACTATGGACATGAGACTAAAGCCTACAGATGATGAAAATGCCGGAGACAGGAAGACGAGTGAGCGGAGAGGCGGGGGCATAACTTACGCTCCCGAGTTGACTTTGATGGAGGGCACCTCCTTGCTGCACCAGCCCATGGCCTGTAGGGAGGGGTAGTCATCGCACATCTCAAACTTACGGCCCTGGAAGTCCTCACACTCGTACAGGGTCACCTTGCTGTCACTGTGGTTCTGCAGAGAAACAGACACATGCAGTGTGATGGTGCTGCTGGAGGTGCTGTCAGTGTGGTGACACATATCACTACATGGACTGTAAGTACTTAGAGGAGGAAGGCAACCAGCAGAAACTGTTTCAGTTCAAGTGTCATTGTACAGAACTACTGTGTCATTAAAGAGATGTGAAATTAACTGAAGCTAATGGAGGAACAGAAGTGTTCTAAGAGGTGTAAGATAATAATTCAGCGCATCTACAGGACCCACAGAGATGAGGAGTGTTGGGTTAAAGAGGGGCGGGGCAGGAAAGGAATCATTTATGGCAGGTATCAGAGGCTGACTAGTAAAAAGAGAAAACAGAAACTTACAGCGCACTTGATAGGTCTGAAGGAGAGCATGTGCTCGGTTCTGTAGCTGCTGTTTCCGCTCCAGGCCTCGTAGCGAGGATAGTCGCCCTTCTCCAGGATGAACTGCTGTCCCTGGAACTCTGGGTACTCATAACCCACCCAGCTGCAGAGAGAGAGGGATGGAAATACTGAGGTTAGGTGTGCAGAGAGTCGGTAAAGCACCAAAGACATTAAAACCAAAAATAGAGAACCTCCCGTCGTACACATCGGCTGATATCGAATCACTAAATACAAAAGACTTTAATGCAACAACACAGTAGCTGTCGTGTCTGGTGGAACAACGGGGCCCAACGCCCACAGAATGGCCTCGAGTGAAACAACATGCAGCCTCTTTTGTCAGCGGGAGCACAAAGCAAACATTAAACAGCGCAGCTCCTGCCTCCACCGCTGCTGCTGCTGCTGCTGCACCGCCCAGAGCTTTATCTGATCGCCAGTCAGTCAGTCAGACATTCTGGCTCACAGCCGACAGCTGCACGCTGCCAGCTCATATCACAGCAGGGTCACACATGGATGCATGCACACACACACACACACACACACACACACACACACTACATGCCAACCAGCAGGGTAATAACACTGCAGGTTGTAATTTGTAGGGTGTTTTTGTGATTCTGTCTTTTCTAGTCGTTGATTGGAGTCAGTGTGTGAGTCCTGTCGGCTTTAATCAGACTTTTTCAGGCAGATAAAATTAAAACAGCAAGAGAAATAAATAATATGAATCCACTTGATATTACTCTGGGGTTAAAAAAGAAAGAAGAAGCTCTTCGTTTTGTACCACGTACTTTAAAAAGTCTATCCTTCATTGATTGTTGGTATAAACATCAAATTCTATTTTTTTTAACAACTTAACAAACCTTTGACCAAAATCTGACCCGATCATTAAGATGCCAGAACTTTAATAAGAAGAAAACAGAAATGGACACGAAACCCTTCCAGAAATCCAGAAGATTAAAGAGGTCAAGAGGTCAAAGTGGCCATATTTGGATTTTTCAGGTAGATGTGGAGACCATCCATCCATCCATCCATCCATCCATCCATCCATCCACTATCTACACACCGCTTAATCATGAGGAGACCAGGAAAGGAAAAGAAGAAGCATGCAGGGCACGAGCACACCACAGTGTCCACTTACGGTCCGTTCTCAACCTTGATGGAGCGGATCTTGTTGAAGCCCCTCTCCATGATGTTCTGGCACTCCAGCATGAACTCACAGCGCTTTCCCTGGAAGTTCTCCTCCTCCCAGACTGTGATCTTGAACTGGCCCATCTGCTCCATCTGTTGAGTGTTCATGGCTGCTGCTTCTCCCGTAGGGGTTACTCTCTGAAGAGGGGTTCAGAATCACAACAACACGTCCTGAGTAGGTGTAACGTCAAGACATGGTGAGGAGAGCAGCGAATAAGCAGTTCACTCAGGTAGCAGACACCTGGTGCTTCTCTGAATCATCCTGAAACTACAGTTCTTGTACATTAGCCGCCAGGTGAGAAGAATCTGAAATATATGTTAAGGTCAGTCTCTAAAGGTGTCGCAAGAAATGAAAAATCCCACTCATCCATCATGTTTCTGCTCCCCCACAGCAGAGATTTGTCTCTGTTCTCATCTAGCAGATTCAATCTAGAAGCACAGACATGCGTCCAGCTCAGTAAATTGCACTGTGTGGCTGTGATGTAGCGACCACAGAGCTGTCAGGGAACGCTTAGCAGCACAAACACTGACTGCATTGTTCATTTCTGTGAGGACTTGCTGAGGATCTTTAGTCCAGTTTCAGAAACATGCTTGTGTGATGTTTACAGGCCAAACACAAGCACGCCGGTACCACCCTGCAAGCTTTCTCCCTAACATGGATGCAGTGGAACCAGCCAGCCCCTAAAGCAGGAGCAGAAAGTGGCTCTTTGACTGTTAGCAAATCAAGTGTTACTCAAAGTGCATCCACAGCAGGTCTATCTACCAAACACACAGTGTGGGGAGCGTCCTGGTGCTGCCGGGCTCCACCCCAGTACACGGAGCTGCTCCCTCCTGATTGCAGCTCCTTGCAGCTAAGTCTGAGGCAGTGTGCTGGTATACTTACAGACGGTACTGAGGTGGGACAGATCCAGTATAATCAATGTCGGGGAAGAGACCCTCGCCTGCGTTTTTATAGGGCCGGGCCCCCCTGGACCCGAGCCACTCCATTTGCCCAGCAGCCTTGCACACTCAGCAGCTGGGCAGGCCGCTGAAAGGGGAGCATTAGCCTGGCGCATTGTGGAGGCTCCAGAGCACCATTGTCCTCAGAGCCCCAAACTGACTTAGTCATCAATATGGCAGCCGTGGCCAGTGGCAACCTGACCCAGGACTATACAATGGCAACGCACTGACACAACAGTTTGATTGGTGTAGCAGGATAATAGACACATTCTGGGAGCTGATCCCCTCTCTCCCTCTCTCCTGCCTCTGCTGTAGGTGAACTGGACCCTGAACCAGAGGTACCGTCCCACACAGTGAGGACATGTACCGACTGCATCTGGAAGGCCTGCTTAGCTCCTTCTTTTTCCGGCATCTGGAACGAGTTAACTGGCTCAAGTGCTGCAGTGAAAAGCTTCAGTGTTTTTCTTCGTTCATCAAATATGTAGTTTGTTTAGCAGAACCGTGGGACTCATGCAGGTACTGGTACCTTACAGTACACCGTCTAAAGACAGACGGGTTCTGTAGCGTACAGCAAACAGTTCCAGATACACCAGAGCTGTGGTCAGACGCTGTGAATATGAACACGTAAAAATGTATTTTGTTACGAGACAAAGGAAATAATTGGCATTTAATGAGAATAATTACAGGATTTAATTTTCCTGAGTGGCACAAACGGCACAGCGGGGAAAGTATCTGAATGCTTTTGTTTTACTGAACAATAAATAAATAAAAAAAACATGTTTTCAGCTTAACTAAACATAAAAACGTTCAGTGATTTTTTTAATATATTAAAACGGTACCAATCATGTTGAGTTTTTTTTTTCTAATATTTCTAATAGCTGCATCATGTAAAGCTTCAGGAAACAAAAACAACATGTTGGTATAATAATGGAACTGTAGTTTAGATTAAAGGAAATGCCAGGCTGCATTGTAGTGTTTTGAATTGTAGCGTTGATTTAACACTCTGAGCTCAATCCTTCTCATCTTATTCTTTATTGTGCTTCACCGTCTGGTACTGTTCAGTTGTCTGTTTGTGGAGCAGAATTGCTGCTTATCGAGATCTGTCAGACACCCTGATTTATGTAATGCCACGAATAGATATATATAAATGAGAATTATTATTTCATTCACTAAACAAAACAGATGATTGTATTTGGTGAAGTCAGACTAAATTCTGTGTCTGAGCTGCTGAACACTGGTGGACAGCTCTGGGTCACATCTACAGGGTAAAAATCAGACTTTCTTTAACCGAGTGTTAGATTCAGATTTTATTAGATTGTTCCATTTATTTCTTTTCAACACAGGAGCATGAAACCCGTCAGTGCTGTTTCAGGACCAGAAGCTGTTGAGCTCACTGCTGTGTTTTCCTTCATCATTGGTGACATCTAGTGGCAGAAGTGTGTACTACCTCCAGGTTGTCAGACTGGAGCCTGAACGCCTCCTAGATTTCAGTCAGTAGCGTCGTGGCAATAATGTGTCTGAGTTTAGTCACTCCGGTGATGTGATCTGAAGTGAAAAACAGGCCGGTCCCATTAAAAATAATGCTTCATTTTATCATCGAGTATAAATATAGTAACATCCAGACATCAGTCCACTGGTCTGGATAGCAGCAGGAGTGAATATAAGAGCAGCAACCATCCGATTTATACAGTAAATATCTTTCTTTTCTCACTCGTTATACAGTAAAGGTCTAACCAGGTGTATGCAGTGTGTGTGTGTGTGTGTGTGTGTGTGTGTGTGTGTGTGTGTGTGTGTGTTCCACCTGTGGGGCATGTTTACTTGTATGAACAGCTCCCTCATTGTCTTTTTGTTAACCCCTTCATTGTCCTCCTCTCTGCATTTGTGTGCATTAGTGAGTGTCAACCTGCTTGCCCCCGGAGCAGGTGATGGGCAGGTGAAAGGGAGGGCTTAAACAGACACAGATGTTGTGTGTGTGTGTGTGTGTGTGTGTGTGCACGCGCTGATGTTACTTATGTTGTGGGGACATTAACCTGTTGACACAGTCACATTATGGGGCGGCAGCAGTGATGTAAAACATAAATGTTAGTGTATGTGAGTGTGTTACTACCTAAACTACTGCTGACATACACACACACACACACATCCACACACACACACACACACACACACATCCACACACACGCACACACACACACACACACACACGACTCATTTCCCTGTTAAATATAGCTGGGACACTTTGCATGTGTGAGGGGCAGCTTATTCCAGTGCAGACCTAGTACAGGACAGTTCTGCTTTGAATCCTTATCTGGCTGTACAACAAATTCCATTCGTTTCTTCTAACTGGTCATACGGCGTCTCTGCTCCACTGGACACAAGTTCTTCATCGTGAAGTTCACGACATGTGGCCACCACTGGAGTCCAAGTGAATCCATGTAGCTCAGCGCTGACTTTCCGCATAAAGCTCAGCGTCTGGTGAAAGTTAACCCACACAGTTGCCAGAATACGTCTGTGTGTCTTCATGCGTTAACTCAAGGACAGACTGCCTTACCTGACTCACCTGATGCTCTGAGTCACGTTGTACGCAAAGGCCGAGGTGACAACCAGTCAGGAATCAGAGGAAACGTCTGATGGACTTTCAGATGAATTCGTCTTTTCCTTTTCCCACCTCTCAGACTGGATGTTGTTCGGTGCAGGTTCTTCTCTCTTCATGGATTTTGACAGTCAAATGTAAAGTATCAGGGGAGGCAGATACACTGGGAGCTGTTATCAGATGATTGTGTGGCATGTAAAGGTCACAGAGCATTTGATTATGTCAGAACCAGGTGCTGCTGACTCCTACCTCATCGTTACTCCTTGTAATAGTTGTCTTCTTCCTTCTGGTAGTATTTTACAATGCAGCACACATTTTATCTGGTCATTTAATTTTGTGAATCAGGTATAAATAAAAGGCTGCAGGTGATGAATTGAAAGAGAGAGCTGAATCCTTGCAGCGTGCCATCCCTTCAGTAGACTTCCAGAGACTTGGAAAGTCACTTTTAATGCCCACTGAAGCTGTTCTGGCAGCGGTCAGCGGCCCTACAGCCTCACTGAGACACTCTACGATGTCTGTGGTTGCTTCATGACCTCCAGGGAAGCTTGTCTTGACCTCAGAGCACCACATCATGCAGACATCATCACAGGGTTAGGGTTAGGCTCCACATTCATGTGAGTGCTTGGATCAGACAAAGAACCTCCTGAGCAGATAGTAGCTGGGCAGGAAAAGGACGAATCAGTTGCACTTTAGTTTTGTTTCCCCACATTGCACCTTGGAGGAAATCGAGGGAAATAACGGAGGTAACAAGCTGCTTCAAACTGTGTAAATAAAGAATAAAGATGGAAACAGCCGCCCGTTATATCACAGCCCACATGTTTAATGCTGTTCTGTGAGGTGTCACTCCACCAACCCCAAACCGGCCCGTCCCTTCTGGCTGCGCTGTGGTGGCTGACTGCTGCTTCACCTCCCAGGAATTCACCATGAACAGGCTTTTATTGTTTGTCTACCAACAACTTGTCTGCACTGCTGATGCATCTTAACATCACCATGTAGTGTGTGGAGGTGCAGCGTGACATCCAGACTGCTGCCTTGGTTTGTTTCTGCTCATAGATTGGTGGCAGCGAAGGAAATGTAGCAGCACTGCTTGTTTTCTGGGTCAGAGTGAGTCTCAACTATTTGAATAGTTAGTGAATGCACCTGTACACACACACACACACACACACACACACACGACTGTTTGTCCATCTGCACGCGGAAGCACACACACGCACGCTGACATGCAGATTGGCCTGAATAAATGCCCTCCTTCAGGTGGAACGTTGCCGTGGAGACTAATCCAGGTGAGGATGATGTGAGCAGGACATCTGCTCGTACCACCTCCATTTGTCCCCGCTGTCCTCCAACCAGACACCCAGGCGGCTGGATTCATGTGCAGGGACACAAAAAACAAGAAAATGTGGAGAATTACTGTGTCGAATCTAATATGATGTGATGTAGTGTCCGTGAGTCGTCATTGTTTAAGCAAACGGGCAGATAGAAAGACAATTTGTATTAAACTGTGATGACAGACACACACACACACACACACACACACACTGCAGTTGGCAGTCAGCTGAAGAAGCAGGCGGATCAT